AGTGATAAAAAAGATATTTATTTGGTGGTATTTTGCTTTTAAAATGTGTTTCTGTTTCGGTAAGACTGAACCCTGTGTGTATTCTGTCAGTATTGGTGGTCCCGTGTCCCCCCTCCCAGAGTTCAGTGCAACATTACAACCCACTTTCCTTCAAAGACAAACCTTCAGGCGTGGAAACCCCACATAAGAGGAGAAAAAACTCAGGCGTTTCCCCCTCTACACCCCACCAGTTGACACCAGGTTCATTTCCTCAGACACACACACACTCAGGCTCGGTCCTGACCCGCTAATTTGGCGGCGTAAATGGCGTCTCCTGGGGGGGGGGCTTTTCTTCACCGTCGCCATGGCGGTGATTCCCAACGCGACGAGGAAGCGGAGCTGGAAAGAGCCGCCAATTTAGAGGTCGGAGGTCACGAGCGGCAAATTATCCGGAAAACATGACTTTATTGTTGACACACGTGTGGGAGTGTGTGGAGCCTCGCTGTTGACATGCTGCATGTGGTCGAGTGGAAAACAGACGCCGCCGGTGGATCGTTCATATAGAACAGAGAGCGCGCCGGTGATGATACGTGCCGTCGCGTACGTAACGTGTGTCAGCAGGTTGCTGTTAAATGAGGCACGTTGAAAAGATAGAGCCACTATTGTTTTTATCCACATTAGCTGTTACTCAACTGAGTGACACTCGGGCAGGATGGGAAATCACCTCAGCAGAGCGAGGAGGAGGCTCCGAGGAGAAGGGCTTTTATTCGAGGGGAAAGTTCAGCGAGAGCAAATCAAAAAATCATTGCCTTTTTAGCTCGAAAAAACCAACTGAGAATGTGATTTAAGAGGCCGAAACCACTGAGTCCAACTATCCTGAGGTGCACATTAAAGCTAAATGATGCCTGAACAGATTTAAGGAGGTCAAACGCTCCAGAAACAAAGCACAGATTTAACAACTTCATGTAGCTAAAGATGATTTTTAATCATCGTGTCACGGTTGGGAACCACTGAACCTGGTATTTTGTATGATTTTCTCAAACTCTTCCTCCTTCCAGATGTCGCTGACCTCCCATCTCTGCCTGCTGGCGCTCCCAGTGATGTCGCTGCTGCTGCTCTTCTCTCCTATTGGCTGGAGCCACGACAGCCTCACCCCGGGGTGCCACCTTTACCGTGAGTGTCACAAGTGAACGTTTCCGGAGAGAAAAGATGAAAGAATCCTGAATAGAAATAGACGGGAGAAGTCGGTAAAGATGGCGTCTCCTCCTGTCTGCTTCATCACAATCAAACCAGGAAACATCCAGCCAATCGCATCACTGCACCGACTCAAGTCAAGAAACCAATAACGTTAAAAATATTACAAGGGGGAAGAAAATGTTGTTTAAATCTCACATTGAGACAAAAGCAAATTCTACACATGCGGTTTTTGTATCCCAGTGACTGCTATAGTTGCAGTTACGGCTTTTTCTCCATTTATAAAAACAGGAAGTAACTGCCACAATGACTGCTGAGTGGCAAGACTTGCAAATAAAGCTGCTCTGCTGCGCTCCTAGAACCAGTTCAGCTCTCTAGCTATGCAACCAGGTTCCTTCTTCATGGCAGAATGACATCAGAATAAACTACAAATTATTCTCCTGTAAGATTTTAGCATCTTATTGCAGCCAGTCATGTGCAACATTCATCACGTATAATTCAGACTTTTCATTGAGCATATTCGCTGACGATGACGCCCTCTTCCCAGCTAGATTTTTTTTGGTTCCTAGAAAGTATTCGGATTAAGTTTTAGTTATGTTTTCAAAAGGAAGTTGTTTTTTTTTAGTTCCAAGAATGACATTCTTCGAGGATAACATTCTCTAAACATTCTAAAAACGTTTGGTGATATCATTGTTAGCCCATTATGCCTCAACATTCTTAAAACCAACTGCTATATTAAGAACAACCTTCCATTGTTATCGTGTAGACTGTGGAACATCATTGGAAGGTTTTACAGAAACACATTCTTTTAGGTGTTACCTAAACGTCCCCAAAACATCCGCAGAACCTTATAGGCAAAACTGTTTGTACTGTTTGTCCATTCTCCATCTAATATCCTGCTATCCCACAACCCCTCACCTCCACTCTCAAACCAACCAGTCAAAGCAGATAGCCGCCTTCCCTGAGCCTGGTTCTGTCGAAGGTTTTTTTTTGGTTCCTTCCCACTGTTGCCGACTGCTTGCTCATAGGGAATCCAAAGGCAATTTTAGATTGTTGGGTTCTCTTTTCTGTGTTGAAGTTTCATAAGGTCTTCGTCTTACTATGTGAAGTGCTACGAGATGACAAATGTTGTGAATTGGTGCTGTATAAATAAAGTTGAATTGAATTGAAAACCTTCGTCAATATATCACGTTGCAGGTACGTTTTTTGTTGTTGTTTTTACTCATAATCTGACGAGATCTTCCTAAATGTTGCTGGTAAAAAGTGACATCTTAGTTCATTTTTAGCATCACGGGAGCATTATTAGAAATGATAAATAGTCTTAAAAATATGCTTGAACGATGGATGGTTTGTGCCTCAGGTTTTGCTACTTTGTGGTTCCGGCTTTTCAGATTTTCAACAGGTTTTTAGCTTCACCAACCAGTTTTGTGTGGGTAAAAGTGCATCTACAGTACCTCCGCCAATACGCTCCTTCTCCACAACAAATGGCATCTGAAAAAGAAAGTTTGGTCAAAATTGTTTCTAAGAATCAGTCAGTAATTCTTCACTCGTTTCTTCCTCCTCCAGCCTTCAACGTGACGATCCGAAGCGACCGCCGCGGCACCTGCAAAGGCACCCACCTGGTGTACGCCTGCGTGGGCTACTGCGAGTCCAGCGCCTTCCCGTCCAGGTACTCGGTGCTGGTGGCGTCCAACTTCACCCACAACATCACCTCGGTTTCACGATGCTGCACCATCAGCAAGGACGCCAAGGTGAGGGCAGAGAGCAGACGGGTTAAAGGTGGAGGCTGTGAATGGAGACAGATTGTTGATGTTTAGCTAGTTAGTATGTTTAGCTAGTTAGCATTGCTCTCACTGCCCCTACTACTTTGTTTCCCCTCTGAGTCATAATGTTTGGATCTTTCTGAGGCATATTTATTGAGCAGCTGTGTGCACCAGATTTTCAGCTCAGTCTCCACAAAATAACGTTCCTATACAACTAAACTGCATTCCCAAGTTTAACCAGTTGAAATGAGCGATGTAGTCCACGTTAGGACGTAGGAGGGAAGGATGACGGTTTAAACCAGTGACCCAACTTTCAGCCAGAAGTCCGACATCCCATCAGTCTTAGAATTAAGGTTCCTTGTTTACTTTCGGTTTCGGTTTAGCCACAAAAACTTCCTGGTCAGTTTTAGCAATTATCTTTATAAGCTTGGTTAAGGTGACTAACCATCACTGCTTCATTAAGGTTCAGAAAAATCTCATGTTTGTGTTAAAATATGACCCCTTCGCAGCATTTTTGAAGGTTCACCACCATTTTCTGGCTTATTTGGCGGACAAGTCCCGCCCCATCTAACATGTGATTGGTTGACTGGAAAGGAGCATCAACCCATAAAAACAGCCTTAACATACCGACAGCCTTGGATTCAGACTCCAACATGACATTTTATGTCACAAATAAGGATAACAGCGTATTATCTGACTTAACAATCCCACAGATTGGCTACGTTCAGACTGCAGGATTTAATGCTCAATTCAGATTGTTTTGTGAAAAACGATTTTCTGCAACTTCGTTCACATTTCCAACTTCATACGACCCGAAAGTGTCCCGCATGAGCAGACGAGGACACGATGATGTCACACGCAGTGAGCGTGCTCAGAGTTTACGGAAGTAAACACAGACAGTAATGGTGGAGCGTATCTTGCCCGATGGTGGAAACAGAACTGTGACCGCTAACTAAACCGGCATCAGCAGCCAAATACTGCCTGTACATTCCGGCCACTTTCACCCCGTTGGAGCGCTCCGAGAGGGTGGAAGTGGCCGGAACGTGCACAAGCGCACCGGTCAGTTAGGTGTGAAATCCAGCGATGCGTAGTGTTCTAACAACACACTAGTTGTTATAATAACTAAAATAATGAAAATCACCCTTCAAGCATCAAGCCCTCCGTGTATCTCGACCTCCATCTTGCTATCCGACATGAAAGAAGGTTTCACATTTAGTGTCGGATTATTGAGTCATGACTGTAGCTGTAAAAATGCAATTAAAGCAAATCTTGTGGGCGTATTTCAAAGTCAAGTTCTTTTTGTTTTTCCACTGTAGTATTTGAAATCCGATGTGCAAAGATTTTTTTTTGGTATCAATACTCCCGTCATGCAAGAAATAAAGGTTAAAAGCAGCACAGTTAGTGTTGAAGTTGTACAGGAGGGTGATTTTGTGGAGACTCAGAGCAGCAGACTTTACCTTCAACTCCATCATGTTTCCCCTCAGGTCAAGGTTCGCCTGGACTGCCCTCGAGGCCGCCACCACGACGAAATCGAGATCCTGACGGCGAAGGCGTGCCGCTGCGACATGTGCCGCAAATCCCGCTACTGACGCTTCAACGCAGCTGGATGAAAACACATCACACACTCAGCAGTACAATATCTGGTAGAAGACCGAGCAGTAGCTTTCCTTTTTCTGTCCACGTCGGCTTGTTTCGCGTGTTGAAGTGTAGATTTGCCTCCAACTGTCAAAAGCAGGGTTTCTTTACAATGACAGAAAATGATCAAGAACTCCTTGAATGTGTGTGTGTTGGTGTGAAATGTGAGGTGAGGGAGGTTTAGTTCTAGAAAACTTGATTCACTTAGAGGCTGTAGAAACTGTTCTGTCACAAACAAACTGTTTAGCTTTGAGGCTTGAAAAACACTTTGCCAGCAGGTAGAAATACAACAACAATAATCATCATTCTTACTTCTTACGACTCAGCAGAAAAAACACAAACACAAAGAATCGATCACTGTACCAGAGGCGGCAGCAAACCGTCTCCTCATTGACTCGCATTAAACAAAAAGACGTCGTCGACATACGAGAAGTTTCATTCTTTGCAATAACCACTAATCACAGACCAGAGACCAAAGAATGTACAAAAAAATTTATTTATATTTATAAATTTGAACGTAAAGACATTTTTTGTAAATAATATCTATTGATGAAACCAAAGAATGTTGAAAATGTCGGTTAAATGAATAAAAAAAAAAGAGAGAAAGAAAGAATGCACTGTATAGTTTGTGATGAGATTGTGTGTCAATAAATTTCTATTCTGCAACTTTAACGTTATCTGTGTGGATTTATTTTAATTTTGTTGTTGATATTTTTGCACATCCCTGATCTTAACCTCAAACTAAGTCCTGAACCTCACATGAAATGATGTTAAGGAGACTTTAATGAACAGTTTGCATTTTTAAAAAATGACTTAACTTCTGTACATGAGTAGAATTTTGAGATACTTTACTCGAGTATTTCTATTTAATGCTCCTTTCTACTTCCACTCCACTACTTTTATCTGACGCTTTAGTCACTTTAAAGATCTAATAATACAACAAGTTTTTCAATTATTTTGGTAAAGAAATCAGAGGTTTTTCTAACATCTTACAAAAAGCGTCGTCACATTTCTGATGCTTTACTAAAAGAGGATTTTTTCCTCTAAGCTTCTCGTTCACTTCAGTAAATGTTGTAAAAATGGCGTTGCTGCATTAAAAGCTGTACATAAAGTAATTTATCTAGTTCCAGCTTAACGTGCTGCCGACACACTGATGCTTCATAATTATCTAATTATGTATTTTATAACAACACGGATTAGAGCAGCACTTTTACTTATTTACTTTAAATACATTTTATTTTTACACCATAAAAGACGAAAGTGTTATTTTTTTTGAACAATTTACAGATTTTTTCTATTTTGTCAGATTGCTTATATTAACCAGAACAATCATGTACAAATTATTCACTTGCATGTCAAATAATGTGAATCATGTCCACGTTTGAAGTCTGTATTTTTGTAAATTGTCATTTATTCTTTCACAATGTTTGACCATAAAATCACACTATTTTTTTTAGTGCATTTAAATGAGAAAAAAATATTATTTTACAGATCTTTGCTCAGATTTTTATGGATTTCTATCTATTTATTTATTCATTTACACTGTCGCATATATGTACTTTCACTTAAGTAGATGCTTTTTGTACCATATTGGTACTTTTACTCAAATAAAGGTTAAACTAAAGTTGTTTTTTCCACAACCTTCAAGTAAACCCTGTAAATGATTCATGAAGGATTATTGCGGCACAGTTAACTGAACTCATCCTGTCAATAGCAGCTGCAATTATGTTTTATTTGTGAATTCACTCAAACAAATTCAGATTTTTATCTAATTACAAAGAACATGAAACCCTTCTGGATTATAATCAGAGCTACAGGTCACATGTAATGTTTGTTTTCATACGTATATAATCTAAAAGTGCCGTCAAAGATTCAGAAAGAACAACAGAACTCATGTTTTGAAGCATAATTTTTCTTTTTACATACAGATGAGTAACTACAGACACAGTCTTTGGTTTATAAATGTGTAACTTAGTAGATTCAGCATCGTTTCTTCTGTTCCTGAATATAAACATCTGACTAATACTTCACTCCACATGCTTCACCCCACATCAGACGTCTTGCTTTCATCATTTTATTAAGTGTCATTCATGTCACTGTTGATAAGATAGTTTGCAGGTCCAGTCCGGTTCGGTTCGGTTCGGTCCATCAGAAGGTCTCACACTCGGTGTCCTGCGTGGAGCAGACAGCGCAGTGGCAGTGCAGCGCCATGGGATAGTGGTAGAGCGGGGAGATGGAGGGCTGGCAGCCGGGCAGGCGGGCCGTCATGTGTCTGGTTCTGCTGTAGGTGCAGACCCGGTGGTGACGGTGGATGTAGGGAGGATCTGGGACGGGCTTCTGCACAGATCACACACAGACACACAAACACACACAGCTGGAGACTTTACAGACTAAAACAAGAGGGTAAAGACAAAGCTGCACTCTGAAAAGTTAATCAAGTGACCTGCTCCCGCTGCTAAAATACAAAAGTTCTCAGTTAGATGAACTGTTTATCATTGTGATGAGTTGTGTTGTCATGATAATGCTGGTAACTGCATCAACTTCGTATTTTATGTAATTTAAACTCAAATTTCTGTTAGTTGATTTAAAACAAAATTCAAGTTGAGGTAACTTAAAGAAATTGGCTTGTTAACATTTTGCTTCACCTTGAGGTCACAATTTAAAGTCCTCCTCCTGCTGCTGCTTAACTCTGGAGCAACTTCATGTTTTAAATTTGCCACTCTAAAAGCTTGTGTTCATAATGATGGTAAGTATATGACACTTAAAAATATTGGAACAACTTAAATTTTCTGAAAAATCATTTTAAAAACGTATAAATTTTAAGTAAGTGGTAAATAAAATGCCTTTGATTAAGGAGGAAAAGTGGATTCCACGAACTTAATATCGTTTGTTGGTTGAACATAAGTCCATTATAAATTGTCATAACTAAACAATATTAATGCAAACTGTTGCCTTAATTGTTCTTGTTGTTTGGCCCAAACATTGTTGTTGTTTTGTTTTAAGTATATGTGGTTCTTAAAATCAACCTCAATCTGTGAATTTATGACTGATTTAAAAAGATTTAAACTCATTAAACTCTAGAAAGAAATGTTAGTGTTTTTCTAGTATTAGTAGTTTTAAAACAGACACGTAGTTTTACAGGACTTCAAGTTAAAGCAACATAATTTGTTCTAAAATAGCCAACTTAAAAACTTGTGTTCATAATTATTATAATTCAGTACATAGCATTTGTTGAAACACCCAATTTTACGAATAATCCACATAAAAACATGTAGATTGTAAGTGACAATAAGAAACCTCAAAATTGATTTAGGAGGAGAAGCTAATTGAGCTAATTCAGTGTAGTTTGTTGGTTGAACATGATTTCATTCTAAGTTGTAATAACTCAAAAACATTGATGCAAACTGTCTCAGTCTTTGATGTTGAGCAAAACATTATTTGTGGTTCTTGAAACTAACCCTCAAGCTGTGAATTCTTGTTTTTAACTAATTAAACTCTCAAATTACAGACAGAGAAGTGAGTATTTCTGTCGTATTAGTAGTTTGACATCAAGTCTACAGTCTTAAAGTTTAGTTTTATTTCTGTTAAAGCTTCTTTTTGTTAAATGATCAACCTGTGCAACCAGTGAAATCCTGTTTAAAGTCCCTAAAAAAGCTCAAGCTGGACCTCTTTCCGCTCTCACTAGATTCTTAAACTCTAAAGTTGGTTTTTCGATCATTCGGAGGTAAAAGTTAAACGTCTAAAACCAGAAGAAGTTCAGTAAAACATCAGCGTCCCTCCCTGCTTGGAAGGACTCGGTGGTTTCTGGGCCAGAGTCTGACCGGGCCGTGGGCCTTCTTCTGGTTTGGACCGAGTCCCGGCTCATTAATCATTTATTGATGCTTCGCTATTCCGGTATTACGGAAGCGTTCAGAAATAGAAACAGAAAAAGGCGGGACCGGAGCTGTGACTAGCGTCTGAGCGTCACCTCCCAGGTGTGGCAGCGCCCCCAGCAGGCCTCGGTGGTGATGCGCAGCCCCCTGCAGCCGGGCTTCTGGGCCACGAAGGAGAACTCTCGCACCGCGCAGCCTCGGAAGGCGTGCAGCGTCGTGGTCGTCGTCACGGCAACGCACACCACGGCCGCCCCGGCAACCAGGAGGACGAGGAGGGAGAGGGAGGGAGGATGGAGGTGCATTCTGGGTAATGATGGACAAAGAGAGAAATAGGGTGAAGTAGCAGAATTTATTAGCGTAAATGATAATATTCGGATTTTTTTATCGTGGAAGTTAGAGGAAATGAACATCTTATTGAGTAAAAAGATGAAATCTAAACATCAGGAAGTTATAAAAAGTCTAACATGAGGAGAAATTCCATCTGTTTCAGCACTTAAATGTTCTTTTTTTGCCTCTAAACACACAGTTTCTGAGATAAATTGTCGATATTCAACATCTGCAGGAGGAGGTGATCAAACAGCGAGACACCCAGCGTGACTCATGCCTCCCTCTGGTGTCTGTTGTGGCTACTGCAGCCAAGAAATAAAGATTCTCAGATTCACAAGAAATGAAACAAACAAAGCAGCGCACTCAGCAGATCTGACTCTGGAGTGAGGTAACTCTACATGCAAAGTTGTTTTTCTTTCCTCTGAAGCAGAATCAAACGTTAGCTCCTGAACGCGATTCGAGAAATCGACTTAATTTGCGTACAAACAACTTAAACTGCCCTGACAGGATGAGCTCGACTTCTGCACGAGGTTTTAAATCCGAAGAAACACAGATGGAGGAACGCTGAGATGAAAAATACTCCTGAGGGAACATCATGATACTTTTTAGAGGCTATAAAACCAAACTAATTATGTTGTAAAATAGCTCCAGAACCTAATAGTTCCTTTTTTTTTCTTTTTACTGTTAAATCCCTGCTTTACTGTCCAGATAATGAAACGTCTCACCTTTCTCAGCTGAAGATCCTGCAGAGGTTGGAGCTGCTGGACTCTCTGCGTCTGTCTGCGAGCGGACGGTCCGGTGAATGGAACCAATCTGTTCCTTGTTGTTGTTTTTAGAAGGCCATTAGGGCGGACGGACACTCTGACATCATCGCAATTACAATGAAATACCATTAGAGACCCCAAAGCCAGAAATAATGGAGACTCCCTGGAAAATACTGATGCTTGTCTATGTTTTGTTAACCTCAGCCTGTATCTCTGTGAGCGAGCCAGGCGCTGGGAGCAGATTTAATCCGACTCTAGTCTGACTAGAGGAGTGGCACCAGAGATACTGAACTCTGTGTGGATGGGACTTTAAAACCCCTCAAACCACAGAACCGCACATGTGTTTTTAGGAGTAATTTCAAAATAAAGCGATTAAATTAGTGTGAACTTTCTGGTGATGTTTTGGCTCATTTATCAAATCTAGCTGAAGCTTTACATCAGATGGAAATAGTTTAACTAACTGTGCTGCTTTAGGTGTAATATTGGTTTCCATTTATTGGTACTTCCTACTGCAACACATAATTTATTTCATCATGACATAATTAAATAACTACAAACAGATTTTGTGTTGTTTTTTGTGATGGATTCCACAATTCACGCAACTTTCAAGAGTCTAATTTTGACACTTTATGCAAATTAATGGGGATTAAAGGTGGAGTCAGTGATTCTAGTTCAATATTTTGGGGAAAAATCAGTTCTTTGTACACAGCGCTGCCGGTGTAAATGGGAAAACCACACACCGTATGATATGCTAAGTGGTTAAATACGTCAACTAATCTTTCCAATGAATCGCAGACTCAACCTTTAATAGCTGCCTGAAATAAGAAAAGTCTAAAACTGTTTATCTGGCAGGTAGCTGACAAAAAAAAAAAAGATTCTAGCAGGAAGATAAAAACATGCAAACACACAGCTAGCATGTGCTACTGGAGGTATCCATCATATTTAGAGATTAAAGCTGCATCCGTGGATTTTCTTTTTTTGGTTAACTAATGAGTAGCAGAACAAACAACAATGTATACCTCTACCAGTAAATATAATAAAAATCTGTCTGGTAGCCACAAAACAACATTAGCATTCACATGTAGCTGCTTTACAGGCCACCTGATGAACTAAAACCCTCTTTTAGCTCTGTTTTGGTCTCCACCAACCCCTGAGGAAAAAACATTTGATTACTTAGCTCCGAAAAGTTGCACCAAGTTCAACAGGATGGTAATATTTGTTGTGGTGTTTGAAAGATAGTGTGAAGTGGGTCGACGACAACAAAGAGAAACCAAAACAATGAACTAAAAGGCGGGAAAAAAAGCTACATAAGGCTAAACTGCAGACTATTTGAGAGTTTAGTGCAGCTTTAATTAATGTAACCTGCACTATTTAGGATGGAAACACCAGTGAGAGAAATTGGAAGTGAAATCCCAGAGACACAGCAGATGACACAAAAAACCAGCCCAGACTCCCAGAGTGTTTTCTCAAAGTGAAGTTTCATTTTTAGCACATAGTTTTTTTTCTCCATTCTACACCCCCCTGTAATGTTACGTACAGTAGTAAGCCTCTCTACATTCAAACCCCCCCACCGCTGTGTTGGTCCCCAAAATATACATCTTCTTCTTCTTCTTCTGCATCGTCTTTATCATCTTCTCTAGGTTTTTTTTTTTTCTTCAACACAACAAACACAGACCATTGGGCAGACAGTGCAAATCTAGAAATTCAGTGAAATTGCTACGTAATGCGGTTGTAGGTTTCGGTAACATTATATTCTGTTGCTCTGACTTATTGCCATTCTATCGTGTCTAACTCTTTTCTTTCCTCTGTCTTTCTCCTCCTCTGTTTTTCTAACTTTACGGGCTGTTTTCATCGCTCACGTCGCCCCTCCGCCTTAAAGCAATTTTGTTCCATCTTGGCCTCGCGGATCGGCCCCGAAAGCAGCGTTTGATGGCCGTCCGAGTTCAAACCGGGGCCCTCGACCGACACTCTCTCCTCTCTCGCTTCCTGCGCAGGAGCACTTCTAGACCGGATGACAGAATTCTGGAGTTGAGGAATGTTAATTCTAAAAACCGTGGGAGCTGGGGTTTTAACAATCCCCCCCCGAGTCAGCTGACCGACTGACAATAACAATCAAGAGGGTTCGTGAGGAAGCTAGCCAAAACGAAAAAAATCATAAACGTGCTTTTATGACAGCGAGGTCAAGTTTGGTGTCTTTTGTGGTTTTTTTGAGCGTCGCGCGCCTGAATCACAGCAAAGGTTTGAAATCCGAGCTAATAAGAAGTTGTTTTTATCTGCTCAGGGTGCAGCCAGATGGTGTTGGCGGGTTCAGATTTTGAGGTAAAGCTGCGAAAACAACTAATCTGTGAACATGTTCTGTGGTTTCCTTGAACGTGAAATACTGCATCGCACATCTCGTGTTGTATGCAGAAACAGGAGAGAAATACAAGAATTCTGCCTGGAATGTGAAAAAAGTGTCGGCAAAAGAAATTTTTGATCATATTGCAATTATTTTGACAGACATGGGGTTTTTTTGAAGGGTCATTTTAAAAAATTTTTACTAAAAAAAACATAAAACTGATGATTCGTAGGCGTCGTTGCATATCTGTAGCACCACAATGCTTCGTGTATAATCGTATTTTACTTCAATCTCTTATCTAAAAATTGCCACTCCTGAGATTTGGGTATTATATTTTGCCATATTACAAATTAAACAAAATTTTTGATTAATTTTTCCGCCTTAGTGGGTATACGTGGGTGTTGTGGCTCCTTAGTAGGTCCTAAAATCAATCAAAGACAATTATTTAGCGGTCTTTTAAAGTAGGCAGGGGTTTGTTTTTTGTTTTTTGGCATCATTGGGCAAAAATTCTACAACAACCTTTCAACAAATTGTAATTCAATTGGTTGGCGATCAAGGTCTTTTCACGCAGATCAGAAATTCCAAATAGGTGATGCATTCAGGTGACCAGAGGACTTTACCTCAGCAGCACAGGGGTTTAAATCAAGACAATAGTGACTTTTAACTTGACTATTTCTGCACATTTAAATCATGTGCAGCGTGTCCACTTGATAAGTTTTTGTTTTTGCCTTTTGCAGATTCCTGCCTACTGCAGCTTTAAAGCATTTGGGTTTCTGAGGTGAAGCACTAAACACAACATTGCAGCTTTTCTTTGGATTTTTTCTGCACTTTTCCTGTGAAAAAACTAGAAGAAAACGCCTCCTCAGACTTCTAGAAATCTCAATTTTGGTAGGAAAAGGTAATCAGCTTAACTCAGGTTGCCATTTCTAGCATTTTCAGCAGCTTTAACTCACAGTCTTTATCAGCCAATTGAGTTTGTTGAATATCTATGGTGACGGTTGCATTCCAAACACCTCGAACTACTTTATATACTGCAGTCCATCCATCTGTAGGACACCTGAGCAGCTTCAGAACCTGATGTAGACAGAAAAACAGAGTAACTGGACATTTAACGGGAGGTTTCTTACTTCTGTGGTCAGCTCTGAGAATATTTGTGAGTTGCATCCTGGATGTTTGCAAATGAAAAGAAGCTTAGGTGCAGAACAGATTCAGAAAAACGTGGAACTTTAGGAAACACAAATCAAATGGATTTCAAAACCTCGTCGATTCAGGCGCGATTTGAAGTGAGTGTCTAGAAAAAAACTGCAGGTCTGACGGGGTTTTACTTTGAATGTTTGGTTACGAAGCAGCTGACAGGTAGCTCTGCGTCTCTAAAAAAAACTAAAAACAATCAATTCCAGTTTTTTTTTTTTTTTCGTTTTTTGTTTTTAACGATACATTCGGATTCAAAACCCTGTCCCTCAGGAAGGAGAGAAGGAGAGAGAGAGAAAAAGAAGCAAAGAGATAACTGTCCTCTCTCGTTCTCTTGTCGCTCCGTCTACGCTCACATCTCCGACACACTCACGCACTCGCGCACAAACACACATACACAACCTGACCGTCGTCTTCAAATAAGGTTACATTTCCTGATCGAATAGAAAATAAATAGCATCAGTATCAGTTTTCCACAAAATGAACAAGATCATACAAAAACCAAGAAAATAAACAACGTAATTACAAAGCAAAAAAAAAAAAATCATTTCTCATCAAATCATTTTACACAGAAGGTACCTTTAAGACAATGTGAATATCAAGGACGCAACAGGAGTAAAAACAAGAGTGGGAGGTAAACATTTTGAGCGTGACGCCCACTTCCTGTTTAGCCCCCTAAAAACACACAGATTATCCTGAAAGAATGAAAATATTGCTAAAATAATTTTTTTCAGTTTTTTTCCCCCGCCCCTCTCTCTTTATCCCATCGCTCTATCGTAATGATCAGACAAGAATAAACAGATTTTTTTTTTTGTTGTTGTTGGTTCACGCCAAAGAAAGTTGTCATGGTTACCATCTAGCAGCGTCGGGTCCGCCGAGACCCTCAGACGCTCCGGGTTCAGAAATCCAACTGGATTACGGTGTTTTTTTTCCTTTTTGGTTTGAGACACTTGTGGTGCGTTTCATTCGTTTTTCTGTCATGTCAGTGTCGGGTGGAGTCTACTAGCGGGCGTGGTGGTACAGTTGGAGGTTCTAAAATACAAAATCGGAATTGGAAGCAAATTTGACAAACTAAAAAAAAAAAAGTCCTCGCTAAAGGTACCCTGTGGAACTTTTGACTGACAAAAGCGCGACAGAACAAATGTTTTTTTTTTTTTCATGAGCGGGTCCCAGTTTTGTTCCACTGATCAACAGTTGGTGGCGACAGAGTGCAAAGAAGAAGAAGACGGCTAGCTAGCAAACACGGATGTAAACAACGCAGGTTTGAAAACAATCAAGTGTTTCGTGAGGAAGAAAATGTGTTCAACACAATTCACCTGTCAGGCCTCTAGAATACCCACAATGCATTTCTGGTGAGTAACACTGAATGTAAACATAACTGTGTTTGCAAAACAAAAAAAACTCAACAGGGCACCTTTAAAACATACTCATGACCTTTAAATGTGGAATGTTTGGGGATTTTTTTTCTTTTTTTTACTTTTATGAAATACCCCTTTAAGATACACCCGGCCACACCACAAATATCCAAAATTTCAAAATAAAAGAAAAACAGCCACCGCCAATCCAGTTCATTCCTCCCCTCTTTAAGGTCTGTTAAAGGGGAATTCTGCTGAATTTCAGCACTCACATTATGGCCTCGTACATTTAACATGTGATGTGAATTCAGAATTCGAGTCGGCCTTCCCCTTTATGGTATCTGCTACACTAGTGTTTTTCCCATAATACACTACAGAAATATCCAGAGACATATGTATATATATATAAAAACATTATCATCATCATCATCATCGTCAGTAGTACTTAGAGTAGAGTAGAGTAGTAGTAGTAGAGTAACAAGTAAGAAGAAGGAACATTATTGTACTTTATATCAGTATCATCATCTTCATCAGAGGTTATTTAACCTTAAGGGACTTTAGGCTCGTCCTTTGGTGGAACCCGGCAGATTGGGAGAGGAGTTAGAACCAGCTGTGTGTGTGTGTCTGTTTATGTGTGTGTTTTATTTGGTGCATCAATCAGTTGTTGGTGTTTGCGTGACCTGGATACACTCTGTAGCTCTGTCTTCTGGTATTTACAGTAAATATGTACCTGTGTGTGTGTGTATGTGTGTGTGTGTGTGTGGTGGTTTGTTTGTGTGTCTGGTCTGTTCGGACAAAGTTTCGGGACGTCTGCGTGAAGCTGCTTCTTTGGTTTATTAATGTATTGTGCTATCCACGCATGAAACAAGCATCTGGGACCATAAGATGAACACAAAAGCCTCAGTACAGACTGTAACTCGACTGACGTGTTAAACTTGGTTTGTGTTGCACCAGAAGAGACGTTTTTGATCTCCTATTTTGCGGCTGATTTGAAGCAGGCCAGCTACCGATTTTTAGGCACTGACCTGCAGTTGAATAAACCAGCTGGTAGTTAAAATAACAGTCTGCACTTGTGGACGATGTTCATCTTCTGATCCGCAACATGATGTGTGTACAGCAAGACAGAGAAGCAGCTTCACACAGAAGGAAGGTACAGATTTGAACTTGGATCACAGAGTTTGCGCCTTTTTACAAAAAGCTGCCGCCTCCGTGGTGCAAGATGAGAATAAACAGTGGATTTGTTTTGTACCTTTTTCTGCCTCCCAACGCTTTAACCGTCACGTCTTCTCCCCGTCCCCCCCCACCTCCCCCCCCAAACCCTCCCGCGTTATCCCATCTCTGCGGAGCGGCACCTAGGTGGCGCTCTCCCCGGAGGAGGCCCCGCTGGGTTTGGGCTCGGGCTGGTCGGAGTGAGCCGTCTGCGGGGACGAAGGGGTCAGCGGGTCCCCTCTCTCGCCTCGCTCCTGGAGGTTGCGCTGGTTCCTGGCCGCCTCTGTGAGCATCTGCATCCGGCGCTCCTGGTGCTCCTCCAGGCCTCGCCACAGCTCCGCACGCTCCCGTTCTCGCTTGAGCTCCCTGGAGTCAGAAGGAAAGGAAAGAGAAAGGAGAAGATAGAAAGGGAATGGATGGAGTCCCACAGAAGAAAGGCAAAGCTGCTAATCCTAATGAGAGCACTTCTTTGCAGGTTTTATTAACTGAAAACAGGAACTGCATGAACGTCTCCAGTCAGTCTCTCAGTGAGCAGCAGCAGCATGTCTACCTACAGTCTGCAGGAAGAGCATTGGTACATATTTGTGGGTGTTTTTAGGTACGTTGTCAGTCACTCTGCCCACACCACCAAATCTGTGCTGCACGACCAAAACCCTCACCAACCTGATCTGCAAGTCCACAGAGTAGACGGAGAAAATGCACAGAAATACTGCAGCATGGATAAACACACAAACCCTCCTGCAGCTATAAATTGGTTCATTTCTGCTTGTGTGTGGCCTAATCAATGATACACTGCATAAGCACCCAAGAACTTTTAGTGCCAGGAACTAAATTCAAGGAAGTAAAAGTTTCCTTCAGATTATTGGTTGGGAGCAAAAACTAAGTTCTGTGAAATGTTTTTGGCTGAATTTTGAGAATGTCATGTGTTTGTACGCCTGGTCTCTGAATCATTTGGATCTGCTTGAGAAAACTGAGTCCTCACCAAACTTCATGACCGTGGAAGTGATATTTTGGAGCTGTTATTGAAATGGATTCTCGGGCCAGACACGTTTTTTTGTGGGTGGGAATTCTAAAATTTCCAGGTCAAGAAATGCATCAAATTTTCAAGACTTTGTGTAAATATGACACAGAACTTAGCTTTGGGTCCCAAATAACAAATAAGTAAACTGTGGAGCAACACCATTATCTAATATGACGCCTGTTATCTGCTTTTGTACAGTTTAGCACAGAAACTATTCCACTAATGAATGAAAAAGCTATTTTCACACATCATTTTTGCGCTACAATAAACTGTTCCACTCCAGTCCAGCAGGTGGCAGTAATGCAGAAGACTGTGCAACAACATTGTCACCATATAGAGCGAGAAAGAGTTGACACGACAGCAACAGTAAATATGAAGGAGATTCAATCTGTTGATTATAATTTACTTTGCAAACAGAGTCATTAACTCATCGCTGGAAAAGAGACAAGTCGTAGCAGCAAATCAGATTTAAAACATATGAAATATTAACGTACGCAAACAGATTTGTACAGAAACTAAACATGAGATGACTGAGATGAATTGGCTAAAATAAAATGTTGTGAATTCTCAACCGGCTGCGACATCGAATCCCCTGGAGCTTCAGAAAGTACTGCCTCACAGAGAAGAGATTTTTAGGGGTTGAAATGATTTTCCCGAAACTTAATTAGAGCCTGATCCCTGAAGTGGAATCGCACTGAGTTCCTCCAAAGGTTTCTAGTCCATGGGGAAAGTCAGAGCAGTGGAAACATCAGCTCCAGAGGTGTTGGTCATGCTAAGCTAAGCTAAAAACACATGACAACTTTTATGTAAGCCTGTTATTTCGCCGATAGAAAAAGAATGTTATCAAAATGCTAAACCAGCCCTCTATATCTTATTTCCTAATCTGCTATCTTGAGTTTGAACCGGGCCGATGAACGACTGGAATCATGACGTGATCCGCCATCAAGAGATGACCTAAGCGATACATACTTACGACGTGAAATATGAAGCGAGGGATAATGGAACAAATACCGCCTAGAACATGACATAAGACGACTTCTATTCCTTCCTCTTGTTGTCACTGTCGTATCCAGTGACACAAACACACACACAAGGACGGTGAGTCATACGCACTTCTGTTTCTCCACTTTGTAGGAGGCAGTGAGGTCATCAAACAGTTTGCTGTTCATCTCCATGAAGGTCTTCAGCACGTTGTAGATCAGAGACACGATGGTCCTGCGGGGAAAAAACGGCGAGATTAGGGATCTGGCTGAACACCTGCTCCACGGGAGACTCACAACATGGAGGTTAGAGGAGGAGTTTGGGGGAGATTTGTGGACTGGTCAACGTATCTGTTTCCCAAATTGGTCAGTTTCTAGCAGCCAAAGTCAAGTAATCCCCACAAGTACTCACAGTAGTGGAAAGTAATCAAGTACATTTACTTTGCTACACTGGATTTATGTGACCCTATCTTCTCCTCAGTCCAAGATTGTCCTAAACAACCCTTCACATACAGGAAGTTGACCCATGAAGGTATACTTTCTACAGCTAGTTTCACTGGAATGAAACACCCGAATGCATCTTCTACCACTGACTACAAGCACAAGGCACAAGAATGAATGAACAGCAATCGACACATGAGTAATTTAGGGGTTTAAAGTACCAATTATTTTGATTAGTTGATTCATTTGCTGATTAAAATATGAGAATTGCCATTTCAATTTCCTCAAGCCTGAGGTGATCTCCACATTTCTCATTCTGAGGCACCCACTGTTTAAAGCCTAAGCAGCAACTAGGAAGCTGGAATGATTTACTGGCATTTTTGCTTCACATATTAAAACAGCGGCTGTAATTTTCTTCTGGCTGACAAATTAATTAAACGAATAATTCTTTTAGCGTCTATCAGATAAGTTGAGAAACATGTCGATCTTCCAAAACTTCCTTGAAAGGTCTTCCTCGAGTGTTTTCAGGTATTTTGGTGAAGCTGCCAGTTTGGATAAACGACCGTAAAGCTGCTTTGTCCTGAATATCTCACGTTCTGGCTGAACTAAAGACCAGAATACGAACAAAAGCTAAAAGATAAAGTTATAAATGTAGTTAGTTTGTGTTGCACTGACTGGTTCCAGTGCTCCTTGGAGACTCTGTAGAGGGTGGCGAACACCAGCGGCAGGATGACTTGACAGTTCTCCTCGATCAGACTGAGGATGTATTCGTTGTTCCAGAAGTAAAGAGCCCGCTCCGCTACCTGAAACACATGCAGAGCGAAGAGTTGTCAAACACATTATCTTCATTAGACTGTTGTCTGTAAACTGACTTATGCCTAAAGTCTCATTGAGCAGTTGTTTTACAGTCTATATTAAATCGGTAGCTAATCAGATTACTGTAATCACATTTCTTTTAATCCTGTCTACTCCCAAACAGTTCTAATCTGGCCGTGAGTGACTTGTGTAACGTTTTTTTTTCCCCCACGATGATACTGTTTTATCACCTGGAAGTGAGGGCTGGAGATACAGGCTGCTATCTGTTTGAAGAGCGGCTCCTGGACCCGGATGAACTGAGACGGCTCTATCACATCCAGAATCTCCTCGATCTCACCCAGGAACATCACCTGAACACACAAACAGAAACGACACAACGCTCTCAGCAATGCTTGTCGAAGAGAAGTCTGGCTGCAGAGAAACTTCACTGGCTTTTTATCATCATCATCACCTCTTTCTGCGTGCAGGTTTTTGGCCAGTACTTGAGCAGCCCTCTGATGATCTGCAGAGCAAGTATGAAAACACATTAATACAAATAAACACTGTAGCGATTAGCTCAGCAGGGTAGCTGGCCGGCGTCCACTGCTACTATCTCCATTAAAGTCATACTCTGGTTTTTGCATTAAGGAATATGCCATCAAGTCTTATTTTTACTGAATAAAGAAGTAGGTTATCGCAAGTGCTCTAATTCAGCCACTTAACTGATGGGTTTACATTGTGAACTACTTAGAGGAGTAACGCTGATTGTAAAGCTTGATACTCAAGCGACTGGCGGAAATATTAATGGATACCTTTACTCAGAAAAGTAGTCGCTCAGATCTGGGAACACGTTGGCATCTTTATCATTATTAAAAGACATAAAAACATGCCTGTTCAGACCCTCAGAGAGCTTTTTTCAGGGCTAAAAACAATAGGCTAACTAGCTTCTATGCTAAAAGTGGAAGCAAATGGGCTAGACTTAGTAGTTTTTGTTCCTAAAGTGAAAGCGAGAAAACTTGACAAAATAGATTTTATGCTTCAAATGAAAGCTCGAAAACTGGACTAAGTAGTTTTTATGCTGAAAGTGTAATCTGGAAAACCAGGCTAACAAGCTGCTATGTTGAAAGTGGAAGCCAACAAGCTACACTTGCTAGTTTTATGCTAATAATGGAAGTTGGGAATCCAAGATAACTAGCTTTAATGCTTAAAATGAAAGTTAGAAACTAGGATAACCAGCTTTCATGCTTAAAGGGAAGGCTAGAAAATAAGGCTAACTACCGTTATACTAAAAGTGAATGCTAAAAACAATAGGCTAACTAGCTTCTATGCTATAAGTGGAAGCCAACAAGAAAAACTAGTAGTTTCAATGCCTAAAGTGAAAGCTAGAAAACTAAGTTTACTAGCTTTTATGTTTGAATATAGGCTAGAAACCCAGGCTAACTAGCTTCTATGCTGAAAGTGGAAGCCAATGAGCAATATTAATTAGCTAAATGGTGGCAGTTGAAGTTAGGAATCCAAGCTAACTAGGTTTTATGCTTAAAACGAAAGCTAGAAAGCTGGACTGATGAGCGTTTATGCTGAAACTGAATGCTAGACAATTAAGCTAACAATTTTTATTCTTAAAGTCAAAGCTAAACACAGTAGACTAACTAGCTTTTATGCTAAAAGTCAAAGCCAACAAGCTAGACTTAGTAGTTTTTATGCCTAAAGTGAAAGCTAGAAACCTAGACTAGGTATCTTTTACACAAAAAAATGATAGCTAGTAAAGAGCTTTTATAAGTAGTATAACTAAATAACTAACTTGATAAAACTAACTTTTACATTTAAAGTACAAACTAGAAAGGCCAACAAGCTAAAATAAGCAGTTTTTCTGCTTAATGTGAGCGTTTAGTGAAGATTTTGTTGAATATTGTGGGTGAGTTCTGACTTTTTGCACAATACAAATGGCAAGATGGCCGTCGTTCACAGCAAATTCAAAAAGAAAACAACAAATCGACACTGAGACTTCTTTTAAATTTGATTATTTTGTTTGTTGTAGCGAGTAGGTGCAGCATGATGATGGAAAAGTGGTCTTACATATTCAGTCACTGTAGCATCTTTCTCCATGAACTGCACCACACAGTAGGCCAGCTGTAAGGACAGAACAGACCAGGTTACACACTCACAAACACACACTTTTTCTCAAGCTGTCAAGGAGACAAGGGGGATCTTAGCACTTATCCCTCAGGATTACACACTGCTAAGGATCGGAAAGACAAGTTTTCCAAGTGTGTGTGTGTGTATGTCTACTACTACATCAGCTCTTGTCTCCTCTTATATGAGCTGCAATCATTTCCTATTATCCTGAGAGCGAGTGTGTGTGTGTGTGAGTGCGTGTGTGTGTTTTGCGGTTGCCCTCTCCACCCAGGCCGGTTGCCGTGGCGAGTGGGCACCGTGGCGACGGAGACTGTGTGTGCGTGTGTTTACTTCGGAAGGAGTGATGTCACACACATGAAGTCCCTTAAGGGCAATGTGAGATAGAGTTTAGACCTCCTGTCTCTGCCTCGCTGTCGCCCCTCTTTTGTCCTATTTATACCTTTGAATTGTTCACATCATTACTGCGTTATGAATAAAAGTTCAAGTTTTATGTTTCAGACAAATGAGGCGGTGCGCTGTCTTTTGTTGGTTCTTTCTTTGTCTCACTGTTGACCTCCGCTGTCTGCCTCCTAATCTGTCTGGCATCAACATCATACTCTCTCATCTATTCTACCAATTTTCTGCCTCTTTCCTTTTCCCTTCTTACGAGGCATCTTTCTTGTTTGTCTTCTCCTCTCGCTCCATCACGAACTTTTTCACAGCAACGAAGCGCAACGAAGGAGGCAGCGGAGGCTAAAAAAAGGGACCGTTGAAAGCAGGGATGTTAAGCTCAAATATAAAGAAAAGCAGGAAAAAGAGGGGGATTAAAATAAAGGTGCTGAGCGGTCAAACTATTTAAAGCATTAGCGAGGCATTAGAGGAATCGCCTGGGGTAAATATGATGTTGGCTTCTGTTGTCAGGTCGGGCTTTGTGGGTGCAGGAGGCCATTGTTAGGCTAAGGATTATGGGCACTGTAGTCTTTTTTTAAAAGGGTTTTAAGGATTCTACCTACATTGAGCCGTCATGGTGACAGGTCTATTTTCAGAGTTGAAATCCTTCTGAAGATTTCTAATGTTTGCCTCTTATCTGTGTATTTGTTAGTGAAAGTCAGCAAGGCTGGTTAACTTGTTCTTATACTTTAAGTGAAAGTTTTAAAAAAAAAATTAAAATTAAAAAACAAATAGACTAGCTAGATTTTATCCTTAAAGTGAAAGCTGGATAATTAGGCTAACTGGCTTTTATGCTTGAAGTGAAAGCTAGAAAATTAGACTAACTAGCTTCTACGATAGTTTTTCAACTGAAAGTGGAAGCTAGGAAGACAAGCTAACTAGCTTTCACGCTGAACATGGAAACAAGTAGCTAGGCTAACTAGCTTTCACCCTGAAAGTGGAAACAAGTAGCTAGGCTAACTAGCTTTATGCTTTAAGTGAAAGCTAAAAAACTAGAATAACCAGCTTCTATGCTGAAAGTGAACACCAACAAGTTAGACTTAATAATGTTTATGCTGAAAGTCAAAGCTAGAAAACTAGGCTAACTAGCTTCTATGCTAGTCTTTGTTAAAACTGGAAACTGGGAAGCAGCTAGGTATTTAGGCTAACTACTTTTTAAGAGTGAAAGTTACTTGACTTGGCTAACATTAGCATTAAATACCATTACATGTTACTATTCATAATTTTTTATTTCAACACTTGCTAAGTGATATGCAGGTCCTGCATTTTCGTTAGCAGCACTCTGTGTCAGATTTGGCAACGACTTTTATTGGAAAGCCGCTAACACCTCCTTGAAAAGTCTTTAAATATCCTTAGATGACACCAAAAATGAATTACAATATTCATGGCGTTATATGTGTTATTTGCACCCTGCCTACTGTCAGCCAGTCCTTACATTTGTTTGGTTGTCTCTTTATCTCATTGCACACATAAACCGTATTTAGAACAGTTGCATTCCCAATAAAGTTGTTCTCATTTACATATTTTTCTGTTTAAGTATAAGATTGGGACTGAAATGCAGCCCATTAAGACTACATGTTAACCAGCAGTCACTTAATGGTCCTAAAACCCAGATTTCATAACTGCAATGTGGTCTGACAAAACCGCTATTAATAAAATTAAAGTGCTGCTGTGATTTCAGCTGTACTCACATGAAAAATTATCACTTGGAGAGAAAGCAACAGAATGTCTTTCATATTTTTTCTTTCACACAGCAGGAATGAAGTAAAACCCTGTGATACCAAGTGATAACACAGCAATAAGTGCATGAGAAGGATAAAATTCTAATTAAACAGTCAAATTAAATTGTTTCAGTTAAATTAAAGAAGGAAATAATACAGAGAAGTGACTGGTCACACATGAAATGCTCTCTGCAGAGAGCAGAAACACAAAAAGTGGAAAGTGAACCCTCATGCTTACAGGACAGAGCTGATGATTCTCCTGTACGGGAAATAGCAAAGGTTCGTTTGAAAACTCACTGGATTTGTCGATAGATGCATTTTGGGGAAGGGAAAAATGTCTAAAGGGTTGTGAAAAGTTACTAAATCTAGCAGCAAAGTTGCTAAATGACTAAATAATGCTCCTTATGTTACCCAGTGATCATGACATGAACTCAGTAATGTGCAACAGCGAAATTAGCAGCAATAAACTTCTTGCTCCTGAAGCTGCAGGGCCACTTAAACAGATACCACACCAATCAAATGCAATTGCTTTGAAAACTAGACTAACTAGCTTTTATGCTGAAAGCTAAAGCTATAAAATGCTCTGCGTAGTACTCTCTGATCACGACAGAAAATCACTAGTGTGCAATGGCCAATTAGCAGCAATTAAAACGATTGTCCCTGAAGCTGCATGGCCACTTTAAGTCCCCACAGAGATGTTGCATCAATCAAATTACAGCACTAATACTATCTGTCTAAACCAAAAAATGACTCCTCCTGGATTACATTAGGCTACTGAACAGTAGTCCAATGTATCGGGCGTTTAAACCACATAAAAATAAACTTTTATTCCTCCTGTTTAGTAATCACAGCTGTGGCCCAGTAAGTACACAAATTAAAACAAGCACCAAGGGTATATTTACTGGACTCTCAGAAAAGATTGATTTTAATCTCAGTTTGACTTTAGAAAACGTGATTGCAGTGCAATTGCTTTTTGGAAAACTGTGATTACTTGAACCATGTCGTGGGCTGCACACTATAGCTCGAACATCTGCTATTTCAATTCGGCGACACAAATGTGAAACCCTTCACAGGCTACAGGAAGGATGATTCTAATGTATTTCACAGTGTTGAGAGAAAAAAACCTCTGAGATGATTAAAAGATTCTGCTGCGATATTGTATCTTGATATTCGCGTCCAGAAGTGGGTCAGGCCTGCGCAGCCGCACCTACTGGGCGCAGAGCTGCCGTCCGCGAGCGCCGGCTCTCCTGTGACCCTGTCAAACCGAGTGTGTGTTTGAGTGTGTGAATAATGTATGCGTGTGAACCACAGGGAGAGGGATGGGGAGAAATGTAGGGCACGGTGATGCTGAGACACACACACACATGCACACACACTCGCGTCAAAACCAGTTTGCGGAGAACAAACTGTACCTTCTGCCTAAGCAAATAATGTGTGGCACAAATAAAACGCACAGGCATGCACACGCACAATAGACTGGCTGCCATCTGTGTCATCAAATATTATTATAACCCAAACACACACACATTCACACACACCAAAGAAACCAACACACACTCTGAATGTAACACTGAGGTGAGCGCATCTCCCTGCAGTATTATCTGCGACTCAACTCTGCCTCCTAGTGGCACGTTTGACACATTGCCGAAACCACCAAATTAACATCTGACTCTCTTCTTCCAGGGTTTTATCCTCATACGGGCATATATCGAAGCCAAATGTTTGTATACATGCCGCTAACTGTTGCACAAAACCCCAGAGGCGGATCAACTTTTGACAGGAGATTACAGTGACAGCTAGAATCAAACACAAGCCACGGGGTACAGTAAAGGAGCCTGAAGATAAACCGCAATCCATTGTGATTCCATGATAGTCGGAGGATTATCTACCTAGAGTAAAGGCTAGGAGCTCGCCTCCATTTGAGGGTTCATTTGATAGTTTTAGTTCAGATCTAAATATAGTTGCTTTTATACTCTAATACAGAAAGGTGCTTGAAAAACGGTGGAAGCGAGGAAAACTGCCTTCAAAAATCGCTCATGAACACGCGTGAAAGAGTTGTAAGGAACACCAGACAATCGAATACATATCTCTCCTCTGCATGCGGATGTAAATATGGCATCAAAGAACATAAAAAACAAAAGCGTGTTGCCGCTGTGTGATTGTGCCGTTACATAAAACATAAATGGGTGTCAAAATCTGTTTTTCATGCCAAAAAGATATCCAAGGAAACCAGTAGCAGCGGTAACCTTTCTAAAAACAGCTTAATATGTAAACAAAGGAAAATAAACGGTAGCGTGCGTAGGTTTATCACTGACCTGTGCGTGGAAGATGGAAAGGGACTTTGCCGTGTGTAGCGGGATGAGAACCCGAACCAGGAACTGCTTGTGTTCGGCCTTCAGAGGCAGGGCGAAGCCATTTATGATGCTGGAGGAGAGCAAATAAGAAGACAGGTAAAGAAGGAGTCGTGTTTGTTTTCTTCAAGGCAAAGAACAAGGTGATTGTTTTTCTACACCTGTAATCTGTCAAAACACCAGAAAAGAGACTATTAATTTGGCTGCATCTAATCAGGCAGTAAATTCAGCTCCAGGTAAAGGTGATGTCACTTAGAACTCCTGGATGTCACAATGGAGCATCTCAGACCTTTCACTTTTGTTTACAACCAGAAGGAACCAAGCAAAAATAACCCAGTCACAACAAATAGCCCACACTACCATTGTAAAATACTCTGAATGGCCGTAGCAAGTTGTTGTCAATTGTATTTCTGTTCCACTATGAGTCTATGACACACAGCAGACACACACATGGGCCATCACGGTGAAGCCAGTCTGACTCATCGTAGGGTACCAGTGGGTATAAATCCGATATTTCTGCCATGCATTTCACGCTGCTTTTTCCTCCCCTTCTGCTATCTGCATGTTGCTGTTTTCCAAATTCCCCCTACTACAGGAAACAGCAAAAATAACCCCCGACCAGCAGCCTAAACACTCAGAATGGGAGGAATGCTTGGTTCGTTTAAAACAATTCCCTGTGAGACTACTTTGCAGGGGCACTGTTGCTGCATCCTGGGCTCAGCACTACCTGAGATGATTGTCATTGATTGAAAGACGTACAAAGAAGCCAGAGAGTTCTTTCCCTTATAGAAGAATGATTATGAGATGCATTCAGATGCATTTTAAAGTCTGGCTAAAGCAATACTGCCCTGAAATGGACATACGCAGTCCTTCAGTGTAAACAGATGGTCCGAGCAGAAAAGGCATAACGGAGTCGAAGAGGTGAGCAGAAAAACAGCAGTAGAAGCTCTCACACTGAGCTGAAATGAAGCAAGTGCACATAAATTAGACAACTAACATAAATACTTCTGGTTTTTAAAATAATTTGGTTTCAAGGCACTGACTTAATGCTTCAGGCTACATTTTTGCTGCTGTGGTTCTAAACGCCAACAGTTTCAAAGGGAGGGACTCACATGCACACACAGCTGGACTGAAAACATCAGATTACGACACACACAGAGGGAGTGTGACCTCATTTCCTGCTGAGGATGTTTACATGGCAGACAGTTGTTTGCTGCTACATAAACACTATATGTATATTTAAAATCTTGCATAGTGCACCTTTAATATTTTAAAAGTTTGGTTTCACTACAACAATTAATCTGTTTGTAAATCTGAAATAACAAAGTTCATCACAGTTTTACAAATTTCAAGTCAACAAAATGAAAAAGTTCAACTAACAATGACACAAAATAGAGAAAAGCAACAAAATTCTCATATTTGAGAAGCTAGAAGATGTGAATATTTGCCATTTTTACTTGATAAGTGCCTTAAATTGATTATCTAAACAGCTCGATCAATCATTTGAATCAATTTTAATCCAGATCAGCAACTGAGACGATTATAGAATATGACATTAGGCCTGTCACAATATTAGACTTTCGAGTTCTCTGTAGAAAATCTGAAAACTTTATTGCACTCAAAACACAACTGTAGGCAGTCTGTAACCATAACTGTCCTGTATGTTGTTTCTGTGTTGGAGTGTCAACCGGACAGGTACTTTTTCTGGCTTATTTACAATATTGTTATTATCACAAATCAATATTTTGCAGTTATCCTCAATGCCTGTACATTGCAACACCCTCTGTATAAGAATAAACCTCTTAAGGCTCCAGGAAGAAAGCTGCACCATCTCATAGCTACACCTCTATTAAATCTATTGCACCATTAACATACTTAGAGTAATAATGAAACTCTCTGTGGTGATGTTGGTGTTTTGACTCAGCAGGAAAGTCATATTTATCTACATGCAAACATCATGTGCTTCTTTAAAACCTCATGTGTGCTTGCTGGTCTGTGTGGTGGAGTCTATTCTCGTCCACTTCCAAGTGACTGGACAAATGCGTGGTCTGCTCTGCTCGCTGCTGCACTGACCGACAAAGTATGAGCAGCAGAAGAGTGGGAACTAAACTTGGAAAAGTGTGACACTTATTTCGCCGTTTGTCAAGTTCACGCAGACGACTTATCCGCTTGTATCAGTCTACCTGTCCGTCCGCCTTCATTTCTAATTGCATCATCGTCTGTTTAACAGAACATTCCTTCAATAATAGCTCCCTCCTGCTGTTCCTCTAATCTCCCTCTCACCCTTTTTTTTTCTCAATACCTCTGTCTCCTTCCTCTCTCTCTCTGATTTCCAGTACAGTGCATCCTCTCTCGCCCTTCCCTCTCGGTGTGTGGGAGGAGCTATAAATACCTCTGTTACCACCAACATGAATACAAACCTCTCTCTCCTCTCCTGCTCTCCCTCCTTCCTCCACTTCTGACTCACTGTTCAGTCACTCTCACCCCCCACCCACCCACCCTCCATCGCCATGTATCCCACCATGCCTCCCTCTTTTCTCACCTTGGATTCATCCTCTCCCTCACCTTGCTCTTTGAAGCCACTGTCCATTTTTTTAGTGTATCAGGTGAAATGGTGGGTTAGAAGGAGCGGTTTAGTTTTTATGAATCCGTCAAGGGTTCAAACAAAAAAAGAACCTCAAACGTCCTTATATCTCTTGGAATATATTCCTCTTTTCAACTCTCTTCCAAGTATAACATCAGACAATAAGAGACAAAGACTTTACATTTTGGCTGCCAAAACATCCCGGAGAGAAATTCATGTTTATTGATTCTAATGCTGCTTTTTTTTGTTTTATGACTTCTCATTTTTCTATCTTCTTTCTTCCATTTCTCCATGGCTCTGTCACTTCAAACTATGTAGTCCACCATATAGTGTATTCACCATTTTCCAGTGCTCCCTGAACGCCAAGGTATAATTTTACACCCTAAATAGTGACCCAAAGTATCGACAAAGTAGTGTAGAGGCAACGGACAAGCAATATGTACCATCATGCATTGCGTCGAAGGAGACAGACAAGAGAGCCAACTGAGGATTGGTCATTATTTTATAGTGATAATGTGTATTTTCTATGAAATATATCTTTTCTTTAGGTGTAGCTTGAGGAAATGACAACAGGCAGGAGTTATGGTGCAAAAATATCGAAATAAAAGGATAATTCCCATTGATATGTTAAATGGAGGCAGAGCAGTGTACCACAACACAAATGAAAAGAAAGAAAAAAGTTGTTTTTATGTGTTAATTTTGGAAAATATGCATAGCACAATATAAATCTCTATCATTGATCTTTGTTTATGTACTGTAACACAAGTATGTCAGTGTTGCTAATCATGTCGTGTATTTGCTAATTTCTTAGTTTGAAACTTCAAAGAAGAAAGTAAAGAGTAATAATTCCCTATAATGTGTTGTATGTCTTATATGGGACTTTAAGTTAAAGGGGGAAAAAAATCAAAGAAAGACAAACAATGAAGAGCAAATCCACATTTGTTTTTTTATGGTTGCTTTAGCTAACAGGAGCTAGCTAACAAAGCTAACACTGGCTCTCTCCTCAGTGCTCCATATTCACAAGGCCAGCCGAGCTAATTAGCACGTTTATGTACCGCTCAATCAAATAAAGTGCTCCAGCTTTAGTGGTGCTGGTAGACATGTTTTTTTTTTCCAATTCTTTCCCTCCTTTCCCAGTCGGTGTGATTAGCTAAAGACCCGCTCAGCGCTTAAGACAAAGACACGAGGTTGACGACTTCTTCTTCTGCACAACAAGCTGTTTTAACATTTAATAGCTGGGCTTGACATGTATTGCAGATATCTATAATTAAATTCTTCCCAGTGAAAAAGAACATTTCAGACATCAACACTGTCATTCTTCCTTGGATAAAAAATGAGCCATTCAAGTGTTGGTGTTTCTAATTACAGATATCTACAAGTCAGGTGCAGTTGAATTATGACTTCCAGATAACTGCGGTTTAATTGGTTTAATCCTCGATTCGGCATGTCAACATTGTCCCTTCAGGATGTCTTTAATTAAGATTAAACAAGTCAGAATGATGCTGTAGATATCTTGAACCAGACCTCTCAAACTGAAATTCTGCCCAGTCAAAACATAGTTACAGACGTCTTGAACTAGAGTTTTGAATCGGCTAAATAACATTGCAGATATATGTAGCTATGAGGTGAGGCTGGCTTGTTCTTGTAAATATACTATCGCAACCATAATCACACATGACAGGCCGTTTTACCACCATGACAAGGCAGCCTGAGGACGAGCTTCTAGTAAATTTGTGTCACGAGTGTTTCATGAAAGAGGATCTTGTTCTCCACAACTTCCTTGCTCTTTCGCCTTTACCACAGCAGCAACCACTTGACATGCGAACACTGTGAAAATGCTTTACTGGGCTGGTATTCAATGGGAAGCTTTGCATGATCGGCATCATCAGTTCAGACTGGTCACAATACTTGTGACAGGCAGAGATCTCTAACTGGAAGTCTTGAATGAAAATCCTAACTAGCCACTACAACTAATCAAAACGATGCTGTGATTTTAATTCTGCAAACTCATCCTTCCAAAATGTTCAAGTACGCCTTTTACATTTCGCAGATGTAGCAAAACACATTGTTCTCACTTCATTTCTGTCTTCATCATGTTTTTCCTCAGAGACAAACCAAGAAACTTCTGAGTCATATTTCATTTATGTCTTTAACCCCCTCCTTGTTTCTTCCACCCCTCACCCCCCCATTACTCATTTCCCAGCCTCCTTTATTCCCATTTCTCACACCGTCAGGCTGTGCACCCCGACTTGTGTTTACCTGATAAGGTGATAAATGAAAATGCGCATTGTTTTATGTGTTGAAGCGGCGGTTCTGCGTCGTAACCATTTTTCGCAGTTGTGTAATTCGCTGCCGCCAGCTGTCTCACGAAAAAGGAACAGCTGGCCAAGTATAGTATGTGTGTGTGGGTGTGGGTGTCTGTTTTATCAGTTTTAGTCCTAATGGATTCTTCAGTCCTTGATGTACTTAAGTGGGAAAGTAGGATCCAAACAAACCTGCCGAGGATTTCCAGCAACTCCGCGACTCCGTTGAAGTGCTCAGTTTCATATATGAACCTAAAGATCAGAAACACACACAAGCAGAACATGAAATTACACATTTTTAGTGTAATTCAAGTGTAAAAGCAGCTGTAGAAAGAGCGCAACGTATCCTGTTATCTTCTTGTAAAATGCCTGATGCATGTGTACAATTCATTGGTATTCATGACTTTTCTGAAGAACTGATCAATATCATGACGAACCATGTGTGAAATGCACCTCTTAGCATCACCTCGCTAACATCATCATCAGTTAAGGAGATGCTTATACTGCGTCTTTTTGGCTGTCGGAGATAATGAAACCGGTTGACTGAGACAGAAACAGAGATCGTTGCAGCATCACAGCTCAGGAATTATAATCCATGTTATAGTGTGATTATAATCCCAGTCATGTGCGACAACCTAACAACAGGTTTAAGACGGTCTCGCTAACTTTCAACCAAATCGTTTCAGGAACTTCTAAGGAAGTGCGATGCAGAGTGAAAGCAAAAGTTCTTTAAGCTTATTCCTCTCTGCCTTTATGCTGCATTTAAAGCCCTGTAAACATGAGGGCAAATTAGAATCAGATCAATAACACTCTTAAGGTTCTCAAGCTAGCAGTCCAATTAAAAAGCACCAACAACAACAATGAACACGTATCCTGACAATGCACCACCGGTCATTTTAGGCTCTAAATCAATCACAGTGTTTCCGTATCATCATTTAATTGCAATTCACGTCATGTGCAATATTTCATTTTCATCTCGTTTTTAAGGTGCTATATTCATTTTTTTTAATCTTATGTGATATTATCTCATCAGCTCCATATGATTTACAGTATTATTTTTTATTATTCAATCTTTTTAAGCCCTTATGTGATATCTTTTAGTTTTTTTCTGAGCAATATTTGCCATTTTATTTAATCCTATCTTATCTTATTTCAGCAAAAATTTGTTTTGAAAAAAGCCTGCTGGTGCTCGTGTTCCTCTTCCTGCCGAAGCCCTTTGTTCGTTGGCTAATGATTGATTTATTGCTATACATAGCTCCCTTTAAATCCTGTGCATCGGTTTGCAGGATGTACCTGAGGAAGATGTTGTTGATCTGTTTGCGGATGTAGGCTCGGAGGCCCAGTAGTTTTCCATAGACACGGTGCAGGATGGTCTTTAGGTACTCCCTCTCCCTGGGGTCCTCGCTGTCGAACAGCTCCAGCAGCTACACACACACACGCACACACGCGAGGTAATTACACAAATACGTTATGTAATGCAGCACCTGTGAGCGCCGCGTTCATCCTCCGACTTCCTCACTCACGCGAAACCAACCTGAGCTGTTTTCAATCTTAATAATATGTCTGCTTTGTGAGAGTATTTCATGATCACAGAATTATATTTTTAAAACACACAGAAAAATGACTAACAGTGTATTAAACATACAAAAATGTACAAGAACAACTGAGAGATCTTTAAGTAAATTTTTCATATGTGAACTCAGAAACCTCAGATTGAGGAGCACAAAATAGGTTGAGCAATGTTTCAAAGAAGAGCTTCATTTATTTATACCTTTCTATTTATCAGGGTTTTAGACGAAGCCTCCCTGGGCTTTTGGATTTGACATTTCCAGGAGGGGAAGAGGAGAGGATTACCTGCAAGACGAACTTCTGGTCGACGTAGCGTTTGGCCATGGAGGGCTGGAAGTCTGGGCTCTCCAGGAAACGCAGAAAGAACTCGTACACCAGCTAACAGAGGCACAAAGAGCAAAAAATCAGTTAGCCTGTATGTTTGTCTCTGAAGGTTTAGTTTGACATTTTAGGAACCATTTGTTTTCTTGCTGGGAGTTAAATGATTCCTAGAATTCAAACTCTGCTCACACACAAATGTCTTAATGCTAAATGTAATGCTAAGCTAAGGAGACAAGCTGCAGCCTGTAGCCTCCTACTGACCAGACAGATAAACAGCAGCATCAATCTTCTCATCCCACACTTGGCCTGAAAGCCTATTTTTCAAAATGTCAAATTGTTTTTCCAAAGCTGCTTTAGGCAACACAGCATGATGATCGCTCCAAATAGCAGCGAGGGACGACTCTACCTGCTCCCTGCGCTGAATGCTCGGGTCTACAGAGCGTAATTCTTCACATCAAAAGATACAAACTGAGAGAAAAAGAGAAAACGACTTCGTTTCATGAGACATCTTGGACTTCACACTCCGCACAAATTTTGACTCATCTCTCCCAGAAGTGAGTGTACACCACGCCCCAAATGTCATCGACTCTATTTAGGAGTTTGTCTTCGCTACGACTTCATTTTGTGATTCAGGCTGACAAAAGTGACAACTCATTGTAACGCAATCTCACACCAGAATGTGTAACTGCAGCGCTGGTTCACAGAGACCAGAAACCTATTTGTTTCACAAGAGAAGCTGTAAAGTTGTGTAATGCCGGCGCTTTATTTGGTCTTTTCTTTTCTATTGGTCTGCGTCATGTGACTATTGAGTTTCTGTGTCACGTGACTCACAAGTTTCACCGTACATGTAAAAGGACCAATTAAGTTCACATAACGAAGGAGGCATAAGTCACAGGGCTTTTACCTTTGAGTCCCAAATGGTCCCATTGGTTAGCAGCGTTTTCATTCACTGTTTACTTACGTTTTATGTCGGACCTGTTTGGTTTTGTTTACAAAGCTACTTCGTTAGATTTAGAAAAAGATGGTGGAGTAACTTAAAATACATCCGCTCAAACACCTACGAGATGATGTTTAATTTTGTTTTCAGCTGCTGTTTTCTCTCACTGTTTTTTTTAACTTTCATTTTCAGTTCCTGTTTTCTGACATCTTCAGTCGATGTTTGCTGTTGTTTGCGCTACAAATCTACTCTGTTAGCTTCAGGAAAAGGTCATGGTTTGAGTTAAAATACGCCGCGAAAACACTATTCAATCACTGTTTTCTATCACCATTTTTGTCACAGTATATTTCTATTTCACAGCCGATGTTTTATCAGTGCTGTCTTTACTGTTTACTTTTGATTTCTGTCATTGTTTGCTG